TTATATATATTAAAAATATTATTTAATATCAAAACGTGTCCTAACGTGTCGAAATATGTCATTTTTTAGAATTAACGGGTCGGCGTGTCGTGTCGTGTTATGTCCCGTGTCAGTGTCTGTGCATCATTGGTGTTATGTTCCGTGTCAGTGTCTGTACATCATTGGTATACAAACCCTCTAACCTGAAGAAAATATTAATGAAAAAAAAGTGAGATTTTAATCAATAATGAAAATATTAAGGATACAAATTCTAACATCTATAATTTGGTGTATGTGCATTGTACTTTATTATAATATGAATAGTTGATTTTTGAGATGTTTTGCCTTTTCCTAGTGCCACTAGAAGAGCCAAACACAATTTTATTTTTATAATAATTCAAATAATTAAATTATATTAATTGAAAATTAATGTGTAATTAAAAGATTAATTAGATGAAAATCTAATTTAAAATTAAGTCACTTTTTCGAATAAATGTGTAAATAATAAAAGTTTTGGGTTAAAAGTATAATTATGCAAAATAGTGAAACCCTAAAACAAATTAAGTGTGTAACACATCCCTCGTAAGCCCAACTCACTTAAAAAACTCTAGGGTTGAGTGATAAAAAGAACTAGGAGTTAAAGGCAAATCAATTTTTTCATCCCCAAGATATTTCAAAACTCAAATTTTCTTTTCTCTCTCCCAATTTACCCATCCCCTCCATGGTTCCTTGCTCTCAAGATTGTCAAGTTTTCTTCTTTCCCTCGTGTTTCCATGGAGTGTCCAACAGAGAGTGAGGGAAAGCTATTATCTTCATCTTCTCCACTTCTCCTCACCATTACAACTTCTAGAAACTAAGGAAAAATCAAAAGGGAAACCCACCATCTCCCCCTTGTGCTTGGGGTGCCACTTTGATAGAAGAAAGACGAAGAGCTTTCCTCCATTCGAAATTGGAGTCCTTATAGCTTCAAGCTTTTGGGGTGGTTAAGGTGAGGATTAAAGAACCTCTTTAGTTTTGAGGCATTTCATGACTTAGGGTTCCGTGACTTTTAGGGGTTTTTGATTAGCTTGATAATATGATGAAATTGATACTAGGTGTATGTATATTCTAGTGTAAAAGTGTTGATTGTGGTGGAAATTTGGTGGAAAACCCACACTTGGACCCATTGTTGAGTTAGGGTTTAGTTTTTGGAATTTTAAGAAAATAGGGTAAGTTTCCTAAATTGTATTCATAGGAAAAATCTATTTATTTGACATGATAATTGATGTATTGAATGCACAAGGATTGCTATTGAATGATTTATTTGCCTTTGGTAGGCTATTGTTGGTGAAATTGTTATAGTGGCTTGTAGAACAAAGGAAAAAGGGCTTGGAAAGCAATCTTCAAAGGTAAATTCTTAGATTTTGGAATTAATCCCTTTTAGTGTTCCATCACACTCATTGAGAGTATTGATTGAGTGGTTGTTTGTTAGAGCTATCATAAAGTTGCATTCGTGTAGCCTTGGTATGCAATTGATTGTGTAATATGATGTGCTCAAATGTGTGAGCTATTATATTGCGAAGTGATGGACTAGGTCCATTGATCAATAAAATAGATATAGACTTCCCTTGGGTATTTATCCTAATAGGTACAGCTCTTTGAAGTTTTATACGAACACTAGCTTTGAGGTACAACTCATTGGAGTGGTCCTAATGCACTGGGTGCACGAGTGTAGTCAATTTACTATTGTCGTTGGTTTATATGATTAGACTATGCCATATGCTCTGACCTTTCTTGTAGGAAAGTGAACTCAAGGGCGGAGTAATCCTACAAGGGTCTTGAGTTTACTGAGATTGTTATCTCACCCCGTTTGGGGATTATGTTTTAGGTACATTAGGTGAAGGAATTGAGACTTCTAAAGGAAAGAAACCTGTGCGTAGCATGGGGTTTCTCTTTCTGGCTTGGCTTGTTTTGATATCAGTAGCATGTTAGGACCATTCTTTTGGAAATGTATAATTGGATGCCATAGTTGATGAGTTATGTATGTAGTCACAATTGAATCTGTGTGAGGAGTAAAGCCAAGTGTGATATAGTCTTGATTTTTGGTTATGTTTATGTCAAGAATAATACTGTAATGAATTTGATGACTTTTTGCCAAAGATAGTTGATCATGGATAGAATGTATGTATTTTGATGTTTATTTGTTTGGATAAGTTGATGGTATTGACTATTAGGTGAATGAAGGGTATATGAGCCTTTGAAAGAGGTCTAAGACATCAAAGGAAACCCTTCAAGTCCGAACTCAGCGTGCTAGAGAGCGCTAAAACGCGCTAAGGACCATTACCCTTTGTTTGAACGAATTACGCTTAGAAACTAGGAAAAGACCCACTCGAGCGGACGACAACGCGCTTTGGGGCAGTAAGCACCCATTTGAGGGCGCTATAATGTATTACAACGTGCTAAATGTGAAGACAATACTTGTTATGCACGTTATAACATGCTAGAGAACGCTATAGCGTGCTAATTGTGTGAAAAATACTTGTTGAGCGCGTTTCTAGGTGCTACAACGTGCTAGACATAGACAAAACTAGTGCTATAGCGCGCTACAATGCGCTAATAGGTGCTAAAGCGCACTAGCATGTGCTACAGCACGCTAAAGCACGCTTTTGGGCGTTAAAGCGCGCTGTGCCAACATCCTTAACTTATCTTTTACCCTTCTAGGCTTATGTGAGCCACTTGATATAGAGTTGTAGACTCATGTAGGATAGTTAATGAACATGAAATGAATTTATTCAAAAAAGGAAAAAGTTTATTCACAGTTTTGCTATAATTATCAATTATTCCACAACCTTATAGATGATAAGAAATTACTTTAATTCTAACTACACTTAATACCATAATTAAGTTAATTCACTAGTTACACTCGAGGTGTTACAATTTTCATAATAATCACATAATAAAATAAAGGATTTTATAATTATCATGTAATATGAGAATTAAAATTTTCCTACACACCCTTCGATTTTCGTGCTGATATGGGTCCCTCACATGACTTTTTTCAATATATGAGTTTCACATACTTTTTATCTCTATGACTTAAGAATTCCTTTCTCATGTAACATGAAAATTATAAAGCCCTAAAATAAAATTATATTATTGTATGTGCACGTTTTTTTGGGGGGAAGGGAGGGGGGGGGGGGGGGGGGGGCTAAAGGGGGTAACAAAAGTAATAATAATAATTAATAAAATTGTATTTAAAAATAATATTTTATACTTTATTTAAATAACTAAATTTTTATATGATTATAAAGTATATTTACAATTCGTCCTTTTCAAATTTTCAAGTGAAAAATAATAATATCTAATAAAATACAAGAAAAATGAAGAGAACGTAACAAAAGTCCTCAACCTATACTTTTATAAAGGGATTCTCCTCTTTCTAATTTTTTTCTTTTTCAAAATTAACTATTAGTTATTGATTTAAAGATTTAAATATGAAATTTATTTATTTGAATATTTAAAAAATTATTAATATTTTTTATTTTATTGTAATAAACTTAAACATTTTAAAAAAAATTTATTATATAATTATTATTTTAAAAAAATTCTTTATAATCAAATATTTTGTAATTGCAATCCAGCGAGACCCCGGGTTCATTACAAACCATAGTTGTAAAATCTGACCCGACTCAGTCGACCCAGAACCCGGTGAATCAGTTATTGGATCAGTTCGGGTCAAGCATTGGACCAGTCATGTATCGATTCGGTCAAAATCGATGACTGGGTGACCTAGTGACCCGATCGGGTCATGCATTTAAAAAAAAACTAAAAAATCAAAATTGTATCATCTTGTCAAAAAAAATGTAGAACCCATTTTAATTTTTTTTTGTAATTTTATTTGCTAGTATACTCTTCTACAATGACATCAGATTTCAGCTTCCAATACTGAAGTAATTTGGGGAATAATAAATTAAGAGAATGTGACATATGTCATTTTTAATATAGTTGAATTTGAAAAAATATGAGTTCAGTATCATTGAGAGGTATGTTTATGAGGATTTTGAGTTGCAATTTAAATTGACATAATAATAGCATGCATTTTTATTTATTTATGCTTCATGTTTTTGAACTTATTTAATGAATTTTGTTTAATTTATTTTAGATATGGAGAATATAATTAAATTTATATGTTCATATTTATATATATCTATGGGAGTAGGTCCTCTCATGTGAAAAAGTGGTCATGTGATTATATTATTTGATCACAACCACTTGTTGATAATGAGATAAGAGAGAGAAAAATGTATAATTTTTAAATATGTGTTTGTGATCAAATAACATTATTACATGACCACTTTTTCACATGAGAGGATCCACTCCCTATATCTATATATATTTGGGTCAATAGTAACCCACTGATTTGACCAGTGATCCAATAATCCAGTACCCTGACCGATGCACGAGTTGAATTTAATAAGACTATTTTAAACAATAAGGCGACGTTTGGTTCAGGAAATTTTTTTGGAATAGAAGGGAAATGAGATAGATAGAGAAATGATTGGAAAGATAGATAAAGTGAGATAGGTAGAAAAATGTAAAAAAAAGTTGTTTGGTGGAGAAAAATTTTACTGGAAAAATTAGGTAACTTTATGAAATCAACAGTGCATTAAAAGCCAGATAATCGATTTTCTGAAAAATCTCAGCTTCAAATTGAGTTTCTAAACAGTGCGGATATCTATGTTTCTCATAAATCCAGACAAATTGGATAGATGAGTTTTTGGTTAAAAACATTGAAACAAACATGGTATTTCTTAAAACCATGCTTGAGAAAGATAGATATCCGCTGAAAAGCTCCCAACCAAACACCACATTCGAAAAATCAGGATTGAGGCATCGCATTGAGCAGCATTACACAGAAAAAAAAAATTAGTTTACCAAAAAAAAAAAAAAAAAGTACAGCTCCTTCACAATTCGAATAAAATGACGTGGCACTGATTACTTAATACATGAATCAAACACTTCCGGTTTGGGTCAGTGCGGGGTTCATGTAGAAAACAGATTTCATCGGAATTTCTTGGTGACAGTTAATCGGGAGAAAGTCGCAACCTTATCATTGTTGCTTGCTGTGCTTTCGTTTTTGTTGAAAATAGAAGAGAAAAGCTTTGATAAACAACTCTGGTCAGTTCTCACATATATTTGGACTACAAATATAAATACAATAATGTCAATCAAAAGCAGCGGTTTTTTTTTGTTTCAAATAAATTGCTCGGATTCAAAGCCAAGGCGTGGTTTCGGAGAAAACACGATTAAGGTTGCTGTATCTGTTTCTTATCGCTCTGCTCTTCTCTGCTCTGCTATATTCGAATTGTATTTTCATTTTGATTATTCTATTTCAGACCAACAAAGCTGACAAGGGTTTAGTGTCGCAGCAAAGGTCTCTCTCTCTCTCTCTCTCTCTCTCTCTCTCTCTCTTCTCTAGTTTAGTTTCGTTTCATTTCATTTGTATTTCTTGCATGTGATTGTCATGGACGACTCATTGACTAACATAACACGTGTATGTATGTATTGGTGCAGCAGGGGATCAACACCTAAACCATCTCGTAAGCAGATGAGATGATTATATATCCAATTCTTGTGTGATTCTGTACCCATGTTTGTTGCATTGAATTAACATCAATTTTTCTTTTCTTTTCTTTTCTTTGTAGAGGCACCTCGTTTAAGTTCACAAGCTGACGGGAAATTTAGGAAAAATTCTTTGGATGTTGACTTTGAGGAACGTCTAAAAGCAGTTAGAAGGTACAGCTCTAGTTATTTTCATTACTGCTCTTTCTACTTGGTTAGTTAGGGTATTATAACCTCTTTTTTTTTGCGGTAATAGACAACGATGTCTTCTTGTGACACTGGCTGACCAGTTTGCCATCAAATTGTACTCTAGCAATGAGCTAGGATTCTGATAGCCATGGGGCAGAACTTTACATGGTTTATAATTCTTTGCATTATCCACTAGGTTCTCTTTATTGTGTATACTCAACATCGTCTGTACTGTAACTGATATTCCTCGCAATCTAAACTTACCATTATGATTGATAGGCCAATAACTCAAGATTATTATTCATGTTTCCTGATATTGTTCCATGCCTTTAGTTCTCTCTCTCTTTTCATTTTTGTGTGGTTCTTGGTAGCTTAGTGAAAGTTTGGAGAGACTATGGCTTTGATTTGGAAAAGATGATAGCTATATGAAGAAATGAAGAAAAGAAGTGGAAGAAGTGTTTTGTCTGAATAATACTTTCTTGATTCATTGAGAGACCCAATGGGTCCTTTTTATATTGAGTACATCCAACTACCTCAACTACTTTAATAAATATGCAACCTCCAACTACATCAATAAATATACAACTACCAACTAAATATACAACTACCAACTACATCAATAAATACTATCTAGAATATTCTACATATTCTACACTCCCCCTCAAGTTGGGAGATATATATTGATCATTCCCAACTTGTTGATCAAATTGTCAAAGGTCGGCTTAAGTAATCCTTTGGTGAGGATATCTGCCGTCTGTTCCTTGGTAGGTATATATGTCAAGCATACACTACCGTCTTGTAACTTCTCTTTGATAAAGTGGCGATCAACTTCCACATGTTTTGTTCTGTCATGATGAACAGGATTTTGAGCAATGCTGACAGCAACCTTATTATCACAATATAATCTGATAGGTAGGGAATAAGAGATCTTCAACTCCTCCAGAAGCTTTCGTAACCAAATTCCTTCACAAATACCATGGGCTAGAGCCCGAAATTCCGCTTCTGCACTGCTTCTTGCAACAACAGTTTGTTTCTTACTTCTCCAGGTCACAAGGTTTCCCCAGACATAAGTACAATATCCTGAAGTAGATCTTCGGTCCATTGCAGAGCCAGCCCAGTCTACATCTGTATAGATTTCAATCATCCTTTTGTGCCCCTTTTTAAAGAAAATTCCTCGACAGGGGTATTTTTCAGGTATTTGAGAATTCTATATACAACACTAAGGTGTTTTTCCTTAGGAGGATGCATGAATTGGCTAACCATGCTCACAACAAAAGCAATATCAGGACGAGTGTGAGACAAATAGATTAATTTCCCCACTAGTCTTTGGTATTGCTCCCTATCAACATCTTCCCCGTCCTCAACTCCCATCTTGATATTAGCTTCAATTGGAGTCTCTGCCGGCTTGCACCCAAGCATACCTGTTTCTTGCAACAGGTCTAGAATGTATTTTTTCTGAGTTAAAGAAATTCCTTCCTTACTCCGAGCAATTTCCATGCCAAGGAAATATTTGAGAGATCCAAGATCTTTTAGTTCAAACTGGTCAGCTAAACATTTTTTTAAAGATGTTATCTCCTCGCTATCATTACCAATGACAATTATGTCATCAACATAAACGATCAGAATTGCAATTCTTCCTTTGTCGGCGTGTTTAAAAAATAAAGTGTGATCAGTCTGAGCTTGGGTGAACCCTCTTCTCTTAACAGCTTGAGTAAATTTCCCAAACCATTCTCTGGGAGATTGTTTAAGTCCATAGAGAGACTTCTGCAACTTGCACACAGAACCATCCCCGTTTTCAAAACCAGGAGGTGGATCCATGTAAACTTCCTCATGTACATCACCATTCAAGAAGGCATTCTTAACATCTAACTGTTGTAATGGCCAATCAAGGTTGGCGGCAAGAGATAGCAGAACGCGGATACTGTTAAGTTTGGCAACAGGAGCAAATGTCTCCTGATAATCTATCCCATGAGTCTGAGTAAATCCCTTAGCAACTAATTTGGCCTTATACCTATTGATGCTATTGTCTGCATTGAATTTTATTGTGAACACCCACTTGCAACCAACAATTTTCTTTCCTTTAGGTAATGTCACAAACTCCCATGTTCCATTTTTTGTAAGTGCATCCATTTCTTCTAATACAGCATTCCTCCATTTTGGGTCATCAAGTGTTTCTTGGATATTTTTGGGTATCCTGGTACTATCTAACATAGTGTTGAAAGCACGAAAACCTGAAGACAATTTTTCATATGAGATATAATGGGAAATAGGATGAGCAGTGCAAGATCTAGTACCTTTCCGAAGAGCAATAGGCATATCAATGTTGGCTGTTCTAGTACATTCAAGTGGGTTGCTGGAACAAGGACTCGAGTCAGGATCCTGGCAGTCTAGAGTATCTTCATCTTTTTTGCGCCTGCTGTAAATTTTTTCCCATTTACCAGGAGGATCACAAGGAAGATCATTAGATTCAGGTATAGTTGTTCCCCCTGTTTCCTTCCCAATAACTCCCCCTGTTTCCAAAGGCCAAGGTAAGACAGCAGCATCATTTGGTTTCCCAGGCTTATCTTCATCCATACCAATACCAATAGACTCCCCCTGAAGAGAAGCCGGGAAAAAAAAGGATTGTGTCTCATAAAAGGAATGGGTTCACGTACAACTGATTTCTGGACTTGCTTCCTCAATTAGATATCTAATTGATTCCACAATATATTCTAAAGATTTTCTAAGACATTACAAAGTATATTATGAAGATATGCTAAGATATTCTAACAGGTTCTAAAAGCATGATTTCTTTACTAGTATTTCAAGTCCAAGTTTTTATATATTTCTCAATTTTGTTTTATAAGTTGATTTTATGATCCTTTTACCACAAAATATGTTTTGATTTTGCCTCACTGTAGATTAATTGGAAATAAATTGTTCTTTTTGCACACTACTCAGGTCAGCACTTCAGCAAAAGAAGGAAGAGAAGGAAAAAGAATTTGGAGCAATTGACTATGATGCACCAATTTCTTCAGACAAGAAGACAATTGACTTTGGAACCAAGGTGCAAATGTTTTTTTTTCTAGCACATGAATTCTTGATTTATATAAAAACTGGTATTGATGTAACCATCAGTCCATCATGATACAGATTGGAGTAGGTGTAGCTGTTATTGTCTTCGGTCTGGTTTTTACTTTCGGAGATTTTCTTCCATCAGGAAGGTATGCATGCACATTTATACCAAACTATATACCTGAAGTACAGCCGCAGCCCTAATACCTTCACGTAATTGTTCATTTTCGTTTAATTTGTGTGGGTTTGGTTTGTCAATTGCTAGTTGAGGCAATGATAGAATCTTTCCTTGTTGAAGTATCCAGCTCCAACATTCTAGGATATTTGAGAGTAGGAATTCACGTAGAAAACGGCCTGTTATTTCTTTATTTTATTTTTTTCTTTAATGCAGTTCGAAAATTATTTACTACAATATGCTGGTCTTTTTATATGTTAAGAAGTCATTTGGCTCAACCTAACTTCTCAATGTGATTTTGTATATATATATATATATGGGCATGCCAGGATCTGTTGACACCAGTGTCAAACTTTGAAATTTGATACAAAGTCCTAACCATTGATTTCCGCCAATTAACGGTTATCATTTATTGGAATCAAACTTATTAATTAATTATTAATTCTCAATAAATGATAACCATTGATTGACGAAAATTAACGGTTAGGATTTGGTGTCAAATTTCAAAATTTGACACCGGTGTCAAAGGATCTTATCTTATGTGTGTATATATATATATCAAGAAGTAAGTAAAACCTAAACTGACTTCTCAACCCTGAAATGCAAAAAAATAAATATGTAAAAGTGGGAAGTAAGCTTGAGTTTTGTCAACTTCCCACCTAAAGAAGTGTGTTGTTCTATCATACTGATCATGTGTCCTAGAACAAATGCACATTGCTTGGTTATAAGGTTGGCTTGATGATAGAGAAGATAAAGGAGCTTCTCTTTCTTCCTTGATCCATGTCTCATCACTTCCTCACCAAACCAATAAAACTTTATCCTAGTACAAATTGATCTAATACCCACAATCTCGTATTCCCCTTTAATACATACCCTCTCTCACTGACTAATCACCTCTCATCCCCAAATCTCCCTCTTTTCAATATCTGTGATGTTTGTAATTTTATTGTTCCAGGTGTTAGGGAGAAAAACAGTGAGAATTTACCTTGAGTTGTGCTAATGCTAACTTCCTGCCTAGATAAGTGTGCTGTTCTATCATACTGTTCATGTGTCTTAGAACAAATGCACACTGCTTAAGGATAAGGTGGGCTTGACTGTGGAGAAAAATAAAGGAGTTTAGTGGGAAGTCGGCTTAAGTTATACCAACTTCCTGCTGAAAAAAGTTTCCTTTTGTATCATGCTGATCATGTGTCTCAAAATAAATGCAAATTGCGTAGGGATAATGTGTACTTGATGGTGGAGAAGATAAAGGAGCTTCTAATACCCACAACTAATTATAAAAACATTATCCTTGTGCAAATTGATCTAATACCCACAACTCATGTTCCCCTCCAATGCATCCCCTCTACCCCTTCCCAATCGCTTCTTATCCCCAAATCTCCCTCTTTTCTATCTATGGTGTTTGTTAATTTTGTCGTTCCTAGTGCTTGGGGAAAAGGAAAAGAAGGACTGGTTGTGGCTAGTGTGCTCTGAATTGTGTCTGTTGAGATATATAGTCCCACATTGGTTGTATGAGCAACTAATGTGGAGTTTATAAGGCCTTCGTCATGCCAATACCACTGTCAATGATAGACAGTGTGTTGTTTGTCTTGTCCGGTACAATGTGAATGAAGAGCTCTGGCTGAGCATCGAGCTTGCTCTTGTCTGTCAGGCTCTCAAATCGGATCTTGTCCAAAGCATCAGAGGCATTGCTAATGAGCTCACGAAGAAAAATCTCCTTGTTGCTGTAGAAAGTGTTGATGATGAGACTGAGGAGCTGGTTGATCTCAGCCTGAAAAGCGAACGTCTCAGTCTCCATTTCCGATCTACCTTCTTCAAGTTAGTTAGGGTTTCGGAAGAGAGGGAGAGTTTCAGAGAAGAAGTGAAACACGAGAAATGAGGATGAGGAAGAGAAGAAGGAAGAGGAGGGTAAGGTTGAGGAGGTGGATGAAGATAAGGAGAAGGAGGAGAAGAAAAAGAAAAAGATTAAGGAAGTGTCTCATGAGTGGTCGTTGGTGAACAAGCAAAAGCCTATTTGGATGAGGAAGCCTGAAGAGATAACAAAAGAAGAATATTCTGCTTTCTATAAGAGTCTTACCAATGATTGGGAAGAGCATTTGTCTGTTAAGCACTTTTCTGTGGAGGGTCAGCTGGAGTTTAAGACTATCCTCTTTGTACCCAAGAGGGCACCTTTTGATCTCTTTGACACAAGGAAGAAGCCTAACAACATCAAATTGTATGTCCGTCGTGTCTTTATCATGGACAATTGTGAGGAGTTGATGCCTGAATATCTTAGCTTTGTGAAGGGTATTGTGGATTCTGAGGATCTTCCACTCAACATTTCTAGAGAAATGCTGCAGCAGAACAAGATCCTGAAGGTCATCCGGAAGAACTTGGTCAAGAAATGTGTTGAGCTTTTTTTTGAAATTGCTGAGAACAAAGAGGATTATAATAAGTTCTATGAGGCCTCTAAGAACCTGAAACTAGGTATTCACGAGGATTCTCAGAACAAGACAGAGCTAGCTGAGTTGCTCAGGTACCACTCCACTAAGAGTGGTGATGAGATGACTAGCCTCAAGGACTATGTTACCAGGATGAAGGAAGGACAGAGTGACATCTACTACATTACTGGTGAAAGCAAGAAAGCCATTGAGAATTTCCCCTTCCTGGAGAAGCTTAAGAAGAAGGGGTATGAGGTGCTCTTTATGGTTGATGCTATTGATGAGTATGCCATTGGTCAGCTTAAGTTGTTGGGTTGAATTCGTTCTTTACATGGTATGAGAGCCTCATGTCCCGGGTTCAAACCTCGTCGTCCCCCATTTTCTCTTGTGGAATTTCTTAGCACAGGTAGGCTGGGCCTGTTGCATCATCCACTCTTCAAGCCCAATGGGCTCTCGTGTGAGGGGGGGTGTTGAGATATATAGTCTCACATTGGTTGTATGAGCAACTAATGTGGAGTTTATAACGCCTTGGGCACTCCCACCCTTTGAGCTAGCTTTTAGGGTGGTGTATCCCAAGGTTCTTTACAGTGTCTATTACCTCCTTAATGTGGATGTTTGAAGCTCAAATTCTAGGGGTTTACTCCGGGGATTCTGGGCAAAGTTATTGAGGGGCTGGTGCTTCCATCTCCATGGGTCTGTTACTCTGCAAACAGTAGGAACAACATGGCCCTTTATAATTATATGGTGCAAGAAAAGCTTGAAGCCAATCACTTTCTCACTCTACAATGCTAAAAATGGTGTCACCCGAACCTCAACTGATCTCAACATCAAGTCATCTGTGACAGCCTGTGCCCAATCTTATGCAGAAGCTTCTCAAAGTGCTGACAGACTGGTTTTCAATCACAGATGGTGTTGAAACGGGGAGGACTCGTAAACTTATATTATTATAATATTGAGAAGTTGGTTTCTCTAGAACTGACTTCTCAACTATTTTTTTATTTTTTATTTTGAAGCTTGACATTGAGAAGGCGTTTTGAGTTAAACTTGCTTCTCAAGTGTATTAACAACAAACTTGGGTAAATAATCCTTCAAATTGGGTAAAAGAAATTAGCATTAGTAATATAAATAGCCTTGTTTATGTTATTAACTGATGGAACTGAGATCTAAATTGATGAAACTGAGAAATATATTACAGTAGTATAAATGGAGGCTAGCTCCTTACAAGAGTTCTGAAAAAGAAAAAAGAACTAAAGGAAGACAAGAACGAAACCAGAGGTCAGCCTATTCAGAGCCTTTATTCCCGTAACCTAGAAGAAAATCAATACATGCATAACTAACTCCCATTCCCCTATTTCTATATATTCTAGCATCTTCCCAAACCGTAACTGCCCCTCTTTTTCCTCTCCTATTCCCTCATTACACGTTTCCCTTCCCATAACCAACTCATTCCCTTTCTACTTACTTAATTGGGCCCATCCGACTCAGCCCTACCACTCTTCTTTCTACCATAAGTATATTTCAGGGGCTCACCATTAACCAAACCAAGTTTCTTTCTCCTTTGGTTGGGCTTGGGTGGCTTTGATTCTCAAATTCTTTTGTTTGAAGAGCCTTTCTCACTGTTTAAAATTAACAATACATTTGAAAAAGATTGCACATCATTGTCAACATCTAAGTTGTTCATAAGCTTATAAAACTTGCTATTGCAAATATAACTAGGAAAAGCCTTTCACTGAAAGGACATACTTACTTCTATTCGATTATCCATCAGACTGATATATATATATATATATATAATTCGAGATATTAAACTTCACGAATTGTAAATCATGTTATGCTCAGTGCAGCTAGTGATTATGAATGTTTTTCGTATCTTTCTCCATCTTGTTTATTTAATTGCTCTTTAATTTTGAGTACAGTTTGAATTGAGATATCTTTCTGAACCCAAAATATAAAAATGGGGTATCTTTCAGTGTTAGTCCGAACGAAGACAGTGCTGTGGTCAATAGTAAGTTGTCAGAGGAGGATAAAGCTACTCTTCAGGTATGATTTCCACCCAATTATTGTTTTTACTCTGGCAATCAGTCAGGCAGTAATGTTCTTCCTAAGTTCTTCTGTCTTGTTTCCTTTCCATATGAAGCAAAAGTTCATTGAATTAAGATTGTTTCTTTTCATGCACCGGTGGAAAGCTGGGATGTCTCAGTAGATAACAATTTGGTCCTTTATTTGGTCGTGTCTTTAGTCTTCAACATTATTCATATGTAGGAAGAGATCAGGCAAGATAAGAAATAAATATAGATAGTTATAAATTGCGTGCACATGTATAACAAACCATGGAGTTAAAATTTATTTAGTTGATTTTCCAATCAACGGTTATAACTCTTCACATTTCCCTCTAAAATGCACTCCTTGGTCCTCATTTTAAAGGAGCTAAATCCTTATTATAAATGGGTGTGTTAGATCAGTATTTTGTATCACAGTTATTCATAGTCGCGTTAGTGAAATATATTTTAATGTGTTCCCTGTTCCCTCTCTATCTTTTTTACCTTTCCCATCTAAAATAATCCTTAAAATTTCAACACTATACATTCTGACGAAAATACAGAATCATTTATAAAATGTATACTTCCTGATATATGGCAGAGTAGGCTTAAGGAATTTGAAGCGACATTAAGTAACTCCCCAAGAGATCCAACTGCTCTTGAAGTAAGTAGCGGATGCAAGTTTTGTTCTGCTATGCTAATTTCTGTGTTTCTAGATACATTTGAAAGATTTTCAGGGAGCTGCAGTAACTTCGGCAGAACTAGGGGAATATGCAAGAGCTGCTTCTCTACTTGATGATTTGACAGAGGTTAATGTTGTTTTGATCATGGATATCTTGTCGAACTTGCCTATTATATGTGTTGGAATGTATCTCCGGTTTACGGAAACTACCTCCTATTTAGGAGCTATATATTTACTGTTAATAATTTGGATTTGATTTGTATACTTTCTGATTTATTTCCTAGACTTCTAGTTTCATGTAATAAGGCGAGCCTCGGAACAATAGTAAGATTGCTCCTTTGTGACCAAAAGGTCACGGGATCGAGTTTGGAAAATAGTCTTTTTGTAAAAATGCATGGATTTGCCTTTTTGCTAGTTTCATGTAATTAGAGTTTCCTAGTTTCATTGTGATCATGTTATATATATACACACACACTGACGATTTCCTCAAGCAATTCTGATTTCTGACACAAAAATCCTCTCTTTCAAGAATATGTTGCATATACCATGCTGTTTGAACTTTGAAAATTGATGAACTGATTTTTGTTCCCTTTTTCTTGTTCCAAGGAAAAACCAAATGATGCTGATGTTTTTCGTTTACTTGGAGAAGTTAAGTATGAACTCAAAGATTATGAAGGGAGTGTTGCTGCATATAAAACTTCAGCAATGGTCAGTCTTTTCAACATTTTTAAACAGTTTTCATGTGTGAATGTCTTGAACAACTATCAAAACTAAATGCTTACAGCTTAGTTCTAGTAAGGATACCAAGGATCTAGTCCATTCAGGAAATTATTAATTTAGGTTGGGACTTGGGATACATTATAATCTAATTTATTTGCCAACACCAATTGGTTTGGGATGCAATGTTGATGTTGGTAAACTATATTTAGTTCTTTACCTGCCATAATATGCAAATATGTAAACAATCTATTTGCAAATATGTAAGGGTAAGACTGTGTACAACGACTGCCCTCATCCCTACCCTAACTAGTTGGGGTTTGATGGGAAGTGGTTTTTTTATTTTTACCTGCCATAACATGTACCTAATTTTTTTTTCTTTTTTATGATTGTAATCTATCTATTGTGTCCACCTATTTGTTGCGCCACTAAGTATGAGTACATCCACGCCCACTTGAACCATAATTTGATATTTTAGGACAGAAGAGGCTATATAGCAAATTATGAGCGATTAATTATAGCAGGCTTAGTAATTCCATCTTGCATTATTTTAGCTCTCAAGACAATGGAAATATTTTATCAAGCTCACTAATATCTATCTGATATTAGAGGCATGTGGTGGAATTACAACCGAAACAGGATTTGAAATAGAAAAGAGAACAACGAAATGAACTATGGCAATTAGAGAGGCCCAGTCTCTCCCCCGCACCTTTCTCACCTATTCCTTGCCGATCTCTTTCTTTTCTCTTGCCCCTTTGTATAACAAATTCCTCGTAAAAATAGAATCATTTACGATCAAATCACCATAATTTCAGAATCAGTCACCTATATTGATTAATATTGAATTACCCTAATTAATTGGATCGATCACCATAATATTATAATCAATCTGTTACGATCTAATTGCAAAGTATGGGACTTGAGTCCCACATTGGTTATATGGGTGACTCATGCGGGGTTTATATGGACTTTGAGCTCTCTTACCTCATGAGCTAGCTTTTAGGGTGAGGTTCTCCCAAGGTTCGTATCAATTGGTATCAGAGCCTTCAACTATGTCTCCCAGTTGCAATCGAGTGGTGCGGGTGGTGACGCTGGAATTGTAGTGTTCGTCCAGGGCTAGAAAAGACTAGCGCAAAGCCAGCCCGCATGGGTGCAGGGGCTGCAGAGCTTAAGGGAATGTCACGATCTAATTGCAAGATATGGGACTTGAGTCCCACATTGGTTATATGGGTGACTAATGTGGGGCTTATATGGACTTTGGACTCTTCTACCTTATGAACTAGCTTTTGGAGTGAGGTTCTCCCAAGGTTCGTATCACAATCACCTATAATGATTAATACTGATTACCCATAATTGATTGGAACAATCACAATCAATCACCACAATTTCATAATGAATGACCTATAATGATAAATACCGAATTACCCATAATTAATTGGATTTCATGTGGCCCTTTTTAGAGTAAGCTTTAATAATTGGGGATCTAACAGTAAATATTTGGTTGATCCCTGACAGGTGTCTGAAGATATCAAATTTGAAGTTCTGCGTGGCCTTACCAATTCATTACTTGCTGCCAAAAAGCCAGATGAGGTTTGTTGTCATGATAATGGATTCTTAGGATGAATATGCTGCACAAGTTAAATCTATTGATTTGCTTGATGACGGTCACATTTGTACTTGTTCATCTACAATTAGTTATCCCTTTTAATGCTGTAGTAAAGGATGGTTACTCTCTGTTTGGAGGATAACTAATTTTATAATTGAAAATTTCTGGAATACGGGATGAAAACATAGGTTGATTGCTTTCACATAAGCTTTGTGTTCCTCATTCTTTAGATCAATGACTTGACTGTACATAAAAGTTAATTTGTGTAATACATTGGAAAGTTATGTATATTGTCCTTATTTGTAAATAACCATTGATTATGCTTTTAAAAAATATACTAGAATTCCTTTTATATGACAGATTGCCAGTTGAGATTTTCAGTTTTTTTTTCTCAAGATGAAAGGTTTTGTTTGCTTTTGTCAAGAGTAGAGAATAATTTTTTTTTCCTAGGTGGAACGCCCCCACCAAAAGAAAACAACAAATAATAAAAGCGTAATTGGTTGCTTATCTCATCTTAGTCTTCATGTATGCTCCAATTTCATGATACGGCCATTCTGGTTCAAAAGTCTATATTGTATAGGAATGTGGGGGTAATCTATTGGAGACCCTATGGTTCTGGTGGATGATGAATTAATTAAAATTTTATTTTTTCCTTCTTTCTTCAACAGGCTGTTCAATTACTTTTGGCCTGTCGAGAGCGTCTAAGTTCAGAAAACTTCAGCAAAAAATCTGATAGCAGCCCAACAGACTCACAGAAGCTGGATCCAGTCCAAGTAAATTCTTACTTGTAAAATAATGGATAATATATTATGTTCTTTGGCAAGGTCTTAGAATACAATATCAACATCAACAACACCTTTATCCCAAACTAATTGGGGGTGGTAGTAGATGAACCCTAATGAAAGGTACGAATGGATAAAACTAAAAATAAATAAAATAATAATAATAATATATAAATATAAAAGTAAAAATAAAAGGGGTGTAAAAAAAATAAAATAAAATAAAAGAAGAAGAAGAAGATGGTGGGGATGGGGAAAAGAAGTAAAGTAAAAGAAGAAGGGGGGGATGAAGAAGAAAATGACTAAAAAAGGACCATCTGGAACATAGGAATAACAACGGGTCTAACCTTCCACCATGTTAATAGCTTTTCTCTATTCCGTCCTAAGGCATACCATCCGCCAATCTATATCCCACTCCATTAAGTTTTGTTTTACTACCTTCCCCCAAGTAAGTTTCGGTCTACCTCTACCTTTCTTTGTGTCGGGCTCTTGGTAACAAACTTTTGTTCTTACAAGAGCGTCCAGGGGCCTTCTCATTACGTGCTCAAACCGCCTCAATCTATGTTCTCTCACCTTTTCAGCCACTGGTAGTACTCCTACCTTACGTCAAATATCTTTATTTCTTATCTTATCCATCCTCGTATAACCACACATCCACCTTAACATTCTCATCTCTGCTACTCCCATTTTATGTTCATGTTGCATATGTGCTGGCCAACATTCAGCGCCATATAACATTGCAGGCCTTACTAGTGTTTCATAGAATTTTCCTTTTAATTTAAGGGGAATTTTGCGGTCACACAAAATCCAGAAGTACTACGTCATTTCATCCACCCGGTCTGATTCTATGATTTACATCCTCATCAATCTCTCCGCCTTTTTGCAGAATGGATCCCAGGTATCTAAAAGCATCTTTCTTGGGTATCTCTTGACCAAGTAATGTACAGGATCTTGGTCTACATCTCTTACCAGAGAAAACTTACACTTCATATACTCAGTCTTGCTCCGACTTAACGTGAATCCTTTATTCCAACGTGCTTCTCCACAATTCAAGTTTTCTATTAACACCATCTTTGGTCTCATCAATAAGCATAATATCATTTGCAAAAAGCATACACCATGGCACTTCCTCTTAGATATCTTTTGTTAGTTCATACATAACTAAGGTAAAGAGATAAGGACTTAGAGTCGAATCTTGGTGTACACCTTCCGTGATAGGAAAATAACTTGATGTTCCATTACATACTTTCACACGTGTAGTAGCTCCATCATACATATTCATGATTGCCTTTGCATACTTTGATGGTACTTTTTTCTTCTCAAGAACCCACCATAAAACTTTTCTTGGGACCCTGTCGTATGCTTTCTCAATATCTATGAATACCATATGTAAGTCCTTCTTTTTTTCTCGATATCTTTCCATTAATTTTCGCATCAAGAAAATGGCTTCCATGGTACATCTTCTTGTCATAAATCCAAATTGATTTACTGAAACCTTGGTCTCTCTCCTCAAGCAATGTTCAATAACTCTCTCACACAACTTATAGTATGGCTCATTAGCTTAATGCCTCTATAGTTAGAATAATTCTGAATATCTCCCTTGTTTTTGTAAATAGGCACGAGTATATTTTTCCTCCATGCATCAGGCATCTTATTTGTCTGAAGAATCTTATTGAAAAGATTGGACAACTATTTTATTGCCACATCTCCCATGACTTTCCACACTTCAATAGGAGCACTAGATTTGAAGATCAATGAATTGGAAAGTGTCATGAACTAACTATCCCAAAAGTTTAAACCATTAAGTGAAGACACATTAAAAAAAGGGAAAAAGGACAAACTCCAGTGCTTAAGGCTCCCTGATAAGTGAAGATACAACTGAAAAGATTTATATCACAAATAGAGCTATGCGGCTCCTTGACATTAGCACAATGTGACCATAATTTTAACATGACAGGATACTTTTAACATAATGACTTCCAACTTTCTTGGTGTTAAATTTTCGTTTTTATTTTTTTGGCTGGAACTTGTATTTATTATTAAAATTATCAGTTAGTTCTTGTAAAGAACCAATTCAACCCAACAGCTTAAGCTTTTCCACCAGTTTAAGGTTTTGGGTTGAAATGGTTCCTTACATGGAATCAGAGCTTCAGTGACCATAAGGTCACGAGTTCGATCCTCACCGCCTCCCACTTGTGGAATTAAATAAGCATAAGATAAACCAAAAATTGGGCCTATGCAATAATCCATGCTTCAAGCTTAAAGGGCTCTTGCGTGAGGAGGTGTGTTAGAGAATAATATAAACCATTAAAAAGACCCTCACCCAACACCTTAAGGTTTTGGGTTGAAATGGTTCTTTACAGCTCTTAATCTTCTATCCTATGCCTCTGTTATTGGATCAAATACCATAATTTTCATGGGTTAAAAACATGTTTGAGTGATGAGAAAGTGACATTATAAAACCCAACAAGGATGTTAGAGCTATAAAATCATTCATGGAATCTTTATCCAATAACTTAAGCTTTTTTAAAATTGGCTCACGACGTGAAATCAAATCCTCTATTACCAAGTGGCATAGAGTTTGACTCTTTCCATCGCTATTCTTTTAATAAAAAATTAAATTTCGGCACAAGGTAGGTGGATTTTAAGCATTATCCACACTTAAAACCCAAATAGCTCTTGCTTAAAGGACATGTTAGAGCTATAAAATCATTCAAGAGCCTTTAACCAACAACTTAAGCTTTTGGAAAAGTTAGTTATAGACAAAGGAAATCTTTTAATGAACTTATTGTTGTAAAACTCAAAATGCTTTGTCATAGAATACAAGATGAATGACTTTTCTTGTATGCTAATATACTTTATATAGCCAAAGGGACCAACATAGTGATTTTTTTTTTTAAAAAAATTGGCTCACATGATGGTATCAATTCGTCTATTACCAAGTGGCATAGAGTACAACTCTTCCCGTCACTGTTCTTTTAATAAAAAATTGAATTTCGGCACAATTGGATTTGTGCATTATCCTCACTTAAAACCCAAATAGCTTTTGCATGAGGGATATGTTAGAGCTATAAAATCATTCAAAAGCCTTTAACGAACAACTTAAGCTTTTGGAAAAGTTGGTTAAAGACAAAGGAAAAATCTTTTAATGAACTTATTGTTGTAAAACACAAAATGCTTTGTCCAGAATACAAGATGATGACTTTTCATGTATGTTAATATACTTTATATAGCCAAAGGGATCAACTTGGTTGTTAAAATTATAGCGTTAGGAAAGAAGAAAAAGATAGAGAAAGATGACTACCAATGGTAAACTTCAAATATAATTGATAAACGTAATGTGATACAATACCATAACTTAGTACTACTTTTTGTACTAATACTGTGATCAAGTACTAATATGAACCCAAGCCCACAAACATTAAAACTAATGAACTAATATCTTCTAACATTCCCCTCAAGTTTAAGCTAAGACAAAAATCAAAGAACACCAACAATATTGATCAACTCAGCCAATCTCAACAAAGAACTAAGGAAACTAGTACTCCCCAGAATAACAAAACCTTGCTACGTGCTTGGCAGATAGCTACTTGCTTCTTCTCAACAGATGACTAGCAAATGAAACAGTTCCTAGAGTCTTTAACCTTTCTTCTCAATGGCCCCCTCGACCTACAAACTAGTCTCCAAAACACTTAAGTCTCGTATCATACGGCTCGGTAATCACATCCAACCAGGTCTCTGAAACACCAAGTTGGGTTTATGATACCACCCATTAACACAAATGGGGTCCTTTACTAGCATCCAAAGTCTTCAATTCACAAATTCTTGAAAGCAAAAGAAAAAAATCATTTACAAAATCCTCAAATAACACAAAGCACATAAAATTACCCCAAAGTGTCAAACAGAACCAGAGGCAGACTATCAACCAATCAAGCCAAACATAGGAAGAACAACAAACAATCAAAACTCTATTGCTACTGACCAAATGCTGCCACTGACCAAATGCTGCCACAGTACCAGACACCGTTGAAGGGAACTCCAAGTCTCACTGTTCCTGTAGCAGCTAAACGTGGCACCACCAGCCACCCAAATGTGGTTGGCAATTCTGAACTTGTTCTACCTCAAATAGCATGATCCCATATCAGGAAGCCATCATGAGGTCAATATCAGAAACTAGAAGATTTGCACCCAAAACAAATAGCTTGTTGTTCTCACCCTGCACAAGCGAGAAAGTGTGTGCAGCAGCTACACCCAAAACAACCCAGCCTCACTGTCGACTGCCACGTCACTCACAACCCCACCCCCTCCCCCGGCCCCGTTTTGAATGTGAGTGGGTTGCCTAAAAACTGAAAATGGCAGCAAATACAAAAGCCGCTCAGATTCAGTAATTGTGACCCTAGGTCATGATGACCTTTTTCCAAAAAACGATTCTGACTGTTAGAATAGTTGTAAAAATAGTTCAGTATATATATAGTCCCACATCGTATGAGCTCAACCTATTAGGTCTTTTAGTCTCTTTAAATAGAGAGCTATTGTACATTGTAATACACTATGATTATTCAATATACAATTATTCTTTAATCTCAAGTTGGTATCAGAGCTTTTTCGCTCTGGGGATCTGCTTCCGCTAAAACCCTAAGCCCACTGCTTAGGTGTTCTCTTCTACTTTGCCGTGCATTCTTCCGGCGAGTTTTACTCTAAGCCGTGTGTCTCTCCGGCTTGTTTCTTCAACTGTTAGAACCACTTCCCGTCGCCAACAACCGCCGCTCGTCACTGTTCAGGCCACCGGAGCACTGTTCCGGCGAGTTTTTAGCCCAGACTACCTGCGATCAGGACCGTCTCATCCCGGCGACCAGTTCAGTGGTGGTCCGACCACCGTCGCGTCAGCTACGCGCCTCCACGCGCCGTTCTTCTCCTCTGCGCGTGGTGCTCACGCGCCACCTTCAACCGGCGCGTGTGCACTGTTCCGGTGGATTTTTCCGGCCGTTCTTGGACAGAACTTCTCGCCTTCTTCTCCTCTTTCCGGATCTGTGCTTGGTTCTTTGTGGGTCTCACTTTAGACGCGTGGTTCTCCTTGATTGGATATCGTTTGCCTTCGTTTACGGCTTTTATATTCTGTCTTTAAATGGCAGCAGCGTCCACTGATCTCTCGGAGGTTAACTCTCCTTGTCCTCCTGTCAAAACTTCCTCAGGAATCATCTCTACTAATATTGGGCCCATTACATCTTCCAAACTAAAGGATTCTACCTCTCTTGCTGCGAATATAGCTCAGTCAGACAATGCATCATTTGGTTCAGTTTCTCTCTCACTTGCGGACTATGCTGCACTCCAAACTCTTCTCAAGAAGGCTTCTCCTCAGTCTCAACCATATACTGGTAATCCCGTTGCTTGTGTTTCTCATTCTACATCACTTGACACTTGGATATTTGACTCAGGTGCTACCAATCATCTCTGTGGTAATAAAGAACTCTTTACATCTCTTACTTATTCTGATCATTTACCTTCTTTTATCCTTGCGGATGGAACCAAAGCCCCAGTTCGTGGGATTGGACAAGCTCGTCCGACCTCTACCTTGGCCTTGACATCTGTTTATTACATTCCTGGCATCCCTTATAACTTAATTTCTATTAGTAAGTTGATCCACTCCCTCACTTGCACCATTACTTTCTCTAACCATTCTGTTTCTGTGCAGGATCCGGGTACGGGGAAAATGATTGGAGTGGGTCGTGAGTCACGGGGGCTTTACTATCTGGATGTGCCTCGTCCTTCAGTGGCACTCTCTCTCACAGAATCTCCACAACTTATCCACAGTCGCCTCGGTCATCCAAGTCTTTCAAAGTTGCAGAAAATGGTTCCTCTTTTATCCGGTTTTCAGTCTTTAGATTGTGTGTCATGTCAACAAGGGAAGCATACACGTTCCTCTTTTGCCAGTCGAGTCAATAAACAAGCTGATGCCCCTTTCTCTCTTGTTCATTCAGATATCTGGGGTTCAAGTCGTACCTTGTCTGTTTTAGGTTTTCGGTATTTCGTTACCTTTATTGATGATTTTTCCCGTTGCACGTGGGTCTATTTAATGAAAAATCGTTTTGAGTTATTTTCCATTTATAAAAAGTTTTATACTGAGATTCATACTCAATTTGGTGTTTCTATTCGTATTCTACGTAGTGATAATGCTAAGGAATATGTTTCTATTGATTTTTCTAATTTATCGGCCACACAAGGTACTTTACATCAAACTGCTTGTCCTCACACTCCACAACAAAATGGGGTGCCTGAACGTAAAAACAGACATCTCATTGAAACTGCACGTACCATTCTTCTTCATATGCAGGTTCCCCTTCACTGCTGGACAGATGCTGTACTCATCTCTTGTTTTCTCATCAATCGCATGCCCTCATCTGTGCTCAACAATGACATTCCTCATAACCTATTGCTTCCAGATGTTCCTCTTTATCCTCTAACTCCACATGTCTTTGGTTGTACTTGTTTTGTTCATGATCTCACTCCTGGTAAGGATAAGTTAATATCCAAAGCCTTTCAGTGTATCTTTCTTGGTTATTCTCGTCTTCAAAAGGGTTATCGTTGTTATTCTCCCGATCTTAAGCGTTACTTAGTTTCCGCTGATGTCACTTTTCTTGATCAACAACCCTTTAATTCTATTCCATCTCAGTTGTCACAGGTTGATCATGTTCTTCCTGTCCCTTTTCTTGACTTGTCTTTGCCAGCTGCAGGTGCTTCTATTCCAGATGAGCAACCTATTGCTTCTATACCTGAGGACCGTCCACTTCTCACCTATCAGCGTCGCAAAACTGTGCCTCCTGTCGACTCGACTCTTGCTGACTCATCGCCCACTGCTGTTGCTTCTTCCCCTCCGGATCCTTCACCAGAGGCTCTTCCCATTGCTCAAAGGAAAGGTACACGTACTACTCGTAACCCTTATCCTCTTTATACTTTTTTGAGCTATGACCGTCTTTCTTCACCTCATTTCACCTTTGTTTCTAGTCTTTCTTCTATTTCTATTCCTAAGACCACATGTGAAGCACTTTCCCATCCAGGGTGGCGCCAAGCGATGCTTGATGAGATGACTGCACTTCATTCCAATGGCACTTGGGACCTTGTTTCTGTTCCTCCAGAGAAGTCTACCGTTGGTTGTCGCTGGGTGTTTACTGTGAAAGTTGGACCCGATGGCCATGTTGATCGACTCAAGGCCCGCCTAGTTGCAAAGGGTTTTACTCAAATATTCGGCCTTGATTATAGCGATACATTCTCTCCGGTCGCTAAGATGGCGTCAGTTCGCCTATTTCTTGCTCTTTCTGCTATTCGTCACTGGCCACTCCTTCAACTTGACATAAAAAATGCCTTTCTTCGTGGTGATTTACAAGAAGAAGTTTATATGGAGCAACCACCGGGTTTTGTTGCTCAGGGGGAGTCTGGGAAGGTGTGTCGTCTTCGCAAATCCTTATATGGTCTCAAGCAGTCTCCTCGGGCATGGTTCAGTCGCTTCAGTTCTGCTGTTCAGGAGTTTGGCTTAATTCGCAGTAAAGTTGACCACTCTGTGTTTTATAGGATCACATCTCCTGATAAGTGCATCTATTTGTTAGTCTATGTTGATGACATCATCCTCACCGGGAGTGATCAAGCTGGAATTCGTCAGTTAAAACAGTATTTATTCAGTCGATTTCAGACAAAGGACCTCGGGAAGCTGCGTTACTTCTTGGGAATTGAGGTAGCACAATCTAGACAGGGCATTTCTATCTGTCAAAGGAAGTATGCCTTGGATATCCTAGAAGAGACTGGTATGTTGGCGTGTAAGCCAGTTGACACACCCATGGACCCTACTATCAAATTACTACCCGGACAAGGAGAACCATTATCTGATCCTGGACGTTATCGGAGATTGATTGGGAAGCTCAATTATCTCACTGTGACTAGGCCGGACATTTCTTTTGCTGTTAGTGTCGCTAGTCAGTTTCTTGATTCTCCGTGTGATTCTCATTGGGATACTGCTGTTAGGATCCTTCGTTACATCAAAGGAGCACCAGGGAAAGGTTTATTATATTCAGATCAAGGAAATACAAAAATTTGTGGTTATTCAGATGCCGATTGGGCAGGATCACCCTCGGATAGGCGCTCTACTTCAGGCTATTGTGTTTTCTTTGGAGGAAACCTGATTTCTTGGAAAAGTAAGAAACAAACTGTTGTTGCCCGATCTAGTGCAGAGGCCGAGTATCGTGCAATGGGAGTTGCTACCTGCGAGCTAATCTGGTTAAAGCAGTTGATTCGGGAGCTCCATCTTTGTGAACAAAAGAAACCCATGACTCTCATTTGTGACAATCAAGCTGCACTACATATATCCTCTAATCCTGTATTTCATGAGAGAACCAAACATATAGAGATTGATTGTCATTTCATTCGAGAAAAGATTCAGTCAGGAGAAATCAAAACGGAATTTGTCAACTCCAATGATCAACTCGCGGATGTCTTCACTAAAGCTCTTAGGGGTCCTCGGGTTGAATATATTTGTGGCAAGCTGGGTGCTTACAATATATATGCTCCAGCTTGAGGGGGAGTGTTAGAATAGTTGTAAAAATAGTTCAGTATATATATAGTCCCACATCGTATGAGCTCAACCTATTAGGTCTTTTAGTCTCTTTAAATAGAGAGCTCTTGTACATTGTAATACACTGTGATTATTCAATATACAATTATTCTTTAATCTCAAGTCTGACCAAGCAAACAAAGAGAGAAGGAATAGTGTTACAATAAAACAATAGGGAAAATTCAGAGGAGTTTTATAAATTGATAGAGAAGTATAATATAAAACTATTAGCGTAGCCCTTACTTAACAGTTTGAGCTTTAAGGTGAGATAATTGTTTAAATGGCATCAGAGCCTATGATCAAGTGATCACGAGTTCGATCCTCACTGCCTTCCATTCTTCTAATAAATATTTAACTGTGGAATTTTTAAGCACAAGTAGGTGGACCCGTGTATTATCCACCCTTCAAGACCAATGGGCTCTTGTATAACAGAGTGTGTTAAAGAAGTCTATTATAAAACCATTAACGTAGCCGTTAACAACTTGAGCTTTTAGGTGAGGTGGTTGTTTAATAAACTCAATGATGCGGAAACACAGCTAATGATACTAATTTGATACTATGTTAAAATTTTACAGTTAGTAAAAAAGGAAATCTAGGTAAGTACATTACCTAGTACTATGTTACAAATGTAATGGAATGCAATACGATAACCTAGTACTGCTATGTATACCAATACTTCATTCGAGTACTAGTATTATTTGTTCAAGCCGAAGCTCACTAATAATAACACCTATAACTTAATATCTTCTAACACTAGTGAAATGGAGTACCCCTGGCAATTAGGAAAAATTTAGTTAGCTTTCATTTGAAACTTTCGTTTTGCTTTCAGGATTTTCCTTGATGTAGGCATTCTCAATGTATATACTACATAGTTTATATTCCTTGTTTTTCCTTACACATAAAACATTCTATGTATATTGTTTACATTGTTTTCCTTACATTTTTTTTTTCGCTTTTTTGTATTCCTTCAATTCTCAGGTTGAATTACTTCTAGGGAAAGCTTACTCAGATTGGGGCCATGTCAGTGATGCTGTAGCTGTTTACGATCAGCTCATATCTACTCACCCTGATGATTTCCGTGGATACTTAGCTAAGGTCTCTAATCTCTCATTTAATTACTAACCATGGAGATTATGCTCATTTCTATTCATTGTAAATCTAATTGACGAAAACAATATGATTGGTATTAAAGAAAATGCATATAGCTGTAGAATTTATTAGAGAAGTTTACTGAAAACTGCTATGGTCTTTCTGTTCCTTTTTTTTTTTTTTTTGTTGGTTGGTACCTATGGTAAAAATGAGGAAATCAACCAAAATGAACAAGAAACAACACTTCTGAAATTGATTACTGATGAACAGAATTACAAATGCTTGTCAGTGACAAGTTTCATTGCAGAAAATTCAATACAAATGAAAATGGAAATTTAACAGAAAACCAAAGGATAAGTTCCTGAGCTATTTGAGAGGCTCAGGGTCTCTCCCAAAAGTCCCAAATGATCTCCTTGATGCCCCCTCTTGTTAATTTCTCAATTTATCCTCTTCCTGGTTCTCACGCTCCACATGTTCCTCACCCATTCTGTTGTGCAGCTCACCCATTCCGTTATTAACCACCAGATTCTCTTCACCTATTTGGTTAGCTGCTGACTCACCCTCACCATGAGGCATTGACTTGATTGCCCTTCTGTACCTTTTTCTAGAATATACTGTAACTGGGGGTGTATAAGTGTGCAAGAAGATTCTTTCTTTTGGCGTGGCCATGGATTGTAAGTAATGTTAGTTTCACCAAACTGAGGTGGAAAGATTTTTCAAAAAAGTGTTGTATAAAACATTTTCACATTCTTAACAATGATGGTAGCATTTTACGTTTTTCTTTTGGATAAAAGAAGAGAATTTAGTAGAGAGAAGAGGGTAAGTACAAACAGAGGGACAAGATATCCTCGTAAACATAGAAACTAAAAGAAAATGTTGTCCAAGGAGGCTAAAAAATGCAACCCTCTGCAAGTTAGATAGGGAAACATCTTAAAGAAATCCATGTGCAGAGCATCAAGGCAAAGCCATGAATCCAGCCCTTCCAGTAACATGTAAAGCAGAGAATTGTCTTTGAAAATGGTAGTTTTGTAATTAGTTTGATAGCCATAGAGGCCCAATGAGTGCAGCCCAAACCAATTCAGTTTAAGATCTGATTCTGTTATTCTGTTCTAACAAACTTCAGTTACACTTGTATAGCTGATACTACTCTATCATAGTGTATATATATAAGACAATAGCTTGCTGTAACATTTGAGCTAATTCAATATACAATAATTCCTTTCAGAATTCTTTCCTTTCTTTTCTTTCTTTCCTTTCTTTCATCATAGCTTTGATACCTCGCATGGTATCAGAGCTCAATAGATCCATGGAGACCAACAACAACTCTGCGCTTAACTCTGGTCATACATTCTCTAATCCTGTCTCCTTCAAGCTGAATGAAGAGAATTTCCTGCCATGGAAGCAACAAGCATCAGCTACAATCAATGGTTACAATTTAACAAGATTCATTACTAAAGAATTGCAAGATTCAGCCTCTGCAAGTGCTGAAAATGAAGCTACAGGTACTGCTACAGTTCAAAATTCTCAAAGATCTAGTTCAAAGGATCTTGATACTCATCAAGATCAACTTCTTCTGTCATGGCTTCTATCTTCTATGTCAGAAAGTCTATATACTCGAATGGTGGGATGCACTAGCTCATTCCAAGTTTGGCAAAAACTTGAAGAATTTTTTGCTTCACAAACAAGAGCAAAGATTAAACAACTGAAAATTCAGTTAAAGAACACAAAGAAAGAAGGAGATGTTTCCAAATACTTACTTCAAATCAAGAAGATAGTAGACTCTCTAGCTGCAACTGATTCAAAGATTGATACAGAAGACCATATTGATGCTATACTGGATGGTCTAAATGAAGACTATGATTCATTTGTGACTTCAGTGATTTCTAGGTCGGATCCCTACACTGTAGGAGAAATAGAGGCACTGCTCATGGCTCAGGTAATGGAACCCAATAATTCATATGTTGATACCTCACACAATAATTCAAACAGATAATGGACAAGAATACTTAAAACTATCACCTCTATTAAAACAGCAAGGAATTCTTCATAGACTAACATGTCCATATACCCATCAACAAAATGGGAAACCAGAAAGAAAACATAGACACATAGTTGAAACTGGTTTAGCTCTATTAGCAGCCTCAAACTTACCTACAAAATTTTGGGAAGATGCATTTCTCACAGCTACCTTTGTCATAAACCAATTACCTACACCTATCCTCAACCATAAATCTCCATTTGAAGTCTTATTTCACAAAACCCCTGACTACACCTACCTAAAAACATTTGGTTGTGCTTGTTATCCTTACTTAAGACCCTACAACAGAAACAAAATTGATTTTAGATCAGCCAAATGCATCTTCATAGGATATAGTTCTAAACATAAAGGATACAAGTGCCTAAGTCCAACTGGTCAAGTCATAATAGCTAGACATGTTCTATTTGATGAGTCTATCTTTCCTTACAAAGAGTCATCAAATTCTATAGATTCAACATTAATTTCTTCATCCTCACGACCTCCTACTATTCCTATTGTCACTGTCTCTCCTCATCAAACACATTTACTTCCTAATTCTCCTATATTGAGTGTTCCTACTGCTGATTTTTCTGCTAGTGCTACTAACTCTACTTGCAGGTCCTCTATTCCTATTAATACTGCATTAAGGTTCATGTCCACTGAAACAAATAGCCATCCTGATCCAACAGTTGCAGTCCCACTGATTAACACTCACAATATGACTACAAGAGCTAAAGCTGGTATATTTAAACCTAAAGCTCTCACAGCGTCTTTGGAACCCAATTCTGTCTCTCAAGTTTTATCATAGCCACACTGGCTTCAGGCTATGAAAGAAGAATATGAAGCTCTTCTCAAAAATAACACTTGGCAACTAGTATCTCTTCCTCCTAACAGATTACCCATTGGTTGCAAATGGGTATTTCGTACCAAGTTCAAACCTGATGGTACTGTTCTGAAATACAAAGCTCGACTTGTGGCTAAGGGTTTCCACCAACAAGAAGGCTTCGATTACCAAGAAACTTTCAGTCCGGTTGTTAAACCAGCAACAATCCGGATTGTACTCACTATTGCTCTATCTAAAGGATGGCCAGTTCACCAACTTGATGTGAACAATGCATTCCTGAATGGGGATCTTCAGGAAGAGGTATTCATGCAACAGCCACCTGGATTCATTCATCAGGACAAGACCCTTGTATGTAAGCTCACTAAAGCCCTCTATGGTCTTAAACAGGCACCACGTGCCTGGTTTGAAAAACTTAGTACTACTCTCCATCATCTTGGGTTTACTACATCTAAATGTGACTCCTCTCTGTTCATTTCCATAAATCAGAACACCACCCTATTTGTTCTGGTTTGTGTAGATGATATTCTTATCACTGGGTCTTCCTCCTCAGCTATCAAGTCATTAATCCACTCTCTCAACAATGCCTTTGCACTTAAAGACCTCGGACAACTACACTACTTCTTAGGAATTGAAGCTCATAAAACGAAATCTGGTGGCTATCTCTTAAATCAATCTAAGTACATCTCAGATCTCTTAAAAAAGGCTAACATGGTTGACTGCAAGCCTATGCCTTCACCTATGACATCCAGTCCCAAACTGTCATCTCATGATAGATCTCCACACCCTGATCCAGCTCAATATCGCTCTATTGTTGGAGCTCTTCAGTATGCTACCATCACAAGACCAGACATAGCCTACAGTGTCAACAAAGTCTGTCAGTTTATGCACAACCCATTAGATACACACTGGAAAGCAGTAAAACGCTTATTACGTTACCTTGGTGGTACGGTGACTCATGGCTTAACAGTGGAACCCTCAAATAACTTTCATCTTACTGCATATTGTGACTCAGACTGGGGCTCAGATCCAGATGATCGCCGATCAACAAGTGGTTTGTGCAATTTCTTTGGATCTAATCTGGTCACCTGGTCTTCAAAGAAACAACATGTGGTTAGCCGCTCAAGTACAGAGGCCGAGTACAGGTGTCTTGCAGCCACCGTTGTTGAAATAACTTGGATCCAGTCTCTACTTTCTGAACTTCATATCAAAGCACCAAACCCACCTACTATCTACTGTGATAATCTTTCTGCTGTACTTCTCACTGCAAATCCGATCTTCCACTCACGCACCAAACACTTTGAGTTGGACCTCCATTTCGTGAGAGAGAAAGTTGTCTCAGAACGTGTCTCAGTTCACCATGTGCCAGCGTTGGAGCAAATCGCTGATGGGCTTACTAAAGCAGTAGCCACAACCCAGTTCCTAACCTTTCGATCCAAGCTTCGGGTCTTGACACTCAAGCCCACTCAACTTGTGGGGGGATGATAGCTATAGAAGCCCAATGAGTGCAGCCCAAACCAATTCAATTTAAGATCTGATTCTGTTATTCTGTTCTAACAAACTTCAGTTACACTTGTATAGCTTCAGTTACACTTGTATAGCTGATACTACCCTATAATAGTGTATATATATAAGACAATAGCTTACTGTAACATTTGAGCTAATTCAATATACAATAATTCCTTTCAGAATTCTTTCCTTTCTTTCATCATAGCTTTGATGGGTGGTGTATCCCAAGGTTCTTTACATGGTATCAGAGCTTGAGTGACTACAAGGTCACAAGTTCGATCCTTACCGCCCCCGCTTTAAAGTGCAATTTCCACGCTTCTAGCCTAAAGGGCTCTTGCGTGAGGGGACGTGTTGAGATATATAGTCCCACATTGGTTGTATGAGCAACTAATGTAGAGTTTATAAGGCCTTGGGTACTCTCACCCTTTGAGCTAGCTTTTGGGGTGGTGTATCCCAATGGGAGTGTCCAAGGCCTTATAAACTCCACATTAGTTGCACATACAACCAATGTGGGACTATATATCTCAACACGCCCCCTCACACGAGAGCCCATTGGGCTAGAAGCGTGGATATTGCACCGGCCCAATTTTTGGTTTACCTTTATGTGCTTTTATTTTAATTCCACTTTAAAGTGGGGGGCAGTGAAGATCGAACTTATAACCTTATAGTCACTCAAGCTCTAATACCATGTAAAGAACCTTGGGATACACCACCTCAAAAGCTAGCTCAAAGGGTGATTCAGTTACACTTGTATAGCTTCAATTACACTTGTATAGCTGATACTACTCTATCATAGTGTATATATATAAGACAATAGCTTACTCTAACATTTGAGCTAATTCAATATACAATAATTCCTTTCAGAATTCTTTCCTTCCTTTTCTTTCTTTCCTTTCTTTCATCATAGCTTTGATACCTCACATAGTTGCTTTGGTCTTACAACTGTTTAGAGAACAAAATCCAATTTTTAAAAAACATAAAAGTTAAAAGTTGTTCTTCCAAACTGTTTTTTAATCTTATTTTATAGAATTGATTTTGAGAAAAAAACTAGAACCAAACAAGGCCAATATTTTAATTTTTGTCCGTCTGAGGTAGAAAGAGTGATCTTAAGAGCAAGTCAACTGGGAACTGTTTAGTTACACTTAAAAGAAGTAGGTAAATGTGTGTTTCACAAAGAATGTGATAAGCCACGCCTCATTGAGGTACCAACCATGACCTCCTGGCAAGGCTCATATTGTCCCCCTTAATATGGCAATATCTTTAGATGGCCCTCAAACCACATCTCTCATGCCAGTTGTACTTATAAGTACTACCATATATTGAAAAAGGCTTTGTTCGGAGAGGTTTACTCACTTAATGTGATCTCCCGCCTCGAAAGGATTAGTCTTCGGCTATCGACTGGAAGATACCTTGGGAACCAAAAAAAAAAAGTACTACCATATTTTTATGCTTCTAATTTGTTTTGAATATATCTTAATATAATCTTATCGTGGAACTCAGTAATAATTACATCACGACTTCTTTTATGTGTCTTAAATCAATCTCATCCTCTACCATTTTTCACCTGTCACTTGATATTAGATCCCTATCTTAAATCATGTTTTTGGACCAATTGACATGCAATGAAAGCATCTATGTATTCAAATAATATCACCTTGTACTTTTGCAGGGAATCATCCTAAAAGAAAACAAAAACATTGGAGATGCAGAGAGGATGTTCATACAAGTAAGTTTATGAATTGACTTGCATAACTGAGTAGGTAAAAAAAATGTTAAAATGAAAACGTGTATAATCCAACATTTCCTTTTTCTTCATATTTGCAGCATTGATGGTTTTGGAAAATTATAGATTTATCCTGATCTTATAAAAAATTTGAGCGCATTTTTAACCGTTTTGTGCAGGCAAGGTTCTTTGCCCCAGATAAAGCTAAAGCACTTGTGGATCGCTATTCAAGATAAAAACTTATATTGACATTAATTATGTAGCTATGCCATGTAAAAGAAAAAGTCATTAACTAGGTGATATAAAAAAAAAACCTCTATCCATATTGCAGATTCACACGAAAATATAAGTCCAGAGATTTCTCTGGTGTTTTAAGGTAAAAGCTATATGACCATTTTATGATTATTTTTTATTTTTTATTTATTTTTCCTTAATCTAATATTATTTTTATATGGGTTCATCGACCACTGACCCAAGTTTGGTATAAAGGTGATCTTGATAAGTATATTTCCGTTGACTTTGAGCTCTTCTTTATGCAATTAGTTTGTCTTGTTGACCTTGTTGTCCCTTTCTTCTGTCTGGTTCCTTGATTCTTTAAAAAATGACCATAAACGGATTATATCATAGTAATACTTATAACCTTATTTTGAACCATTGCTGGAAGTTGCCTTTCATCTCCTATGAGAATTGTGTGGCGAATACCGCAGAGCGGCAAAGGAATGGTTGATTCACATTCTTAACCAGTATCTCTATTGGATACATTTTCTTTAGGGACATTGACCGTAGTGTCCCCCTTTTTGAATATAATATATGTTGAGATATATAAAATCATTAATATAGTCTCACCCAATAACTTAAGTTTTTGGGTTGAATTAGTTATTTACATGGTATCAAAGCTTCGTGTCTCGGGTTCGATTCTCGTCGCTTCCCACTTTCTCTAGTGGAATCCTCAGCTACTATGGACGGGACACTTGTCACTATTACACCAAAGTAGCTGACTACCTCAACGACTTTGGGTTGAATGAGTTGTGTGTCCAGTCACTGGGGACGTGATATGTGTCTAGTCCATAGTAGCTGACTACCTTAGCGACTATGGTACCGTGGCAGTTTGAAATTTTTTTTTGACTCCGTGGTATTTAAATATATTATATTCAAAAAGGGAGCAGTATGGTCAATGTCCTTTTTCTTTAAGTGCAACTTGGCAGTACTTAACTTAACGATCAAGCATGCATTTACCAAGTACAATTATGTTAATGTTCCTACAACATTAAATTTCTTGTATATGAAGGCACTCTTAAAGTGCCTATCTCATCTTAAAAGTTTTTGAAGAAACTGAAAATATTCTGTAATTCATATTGTAAGAAAGAAACTTCTACTTTTATTTTTTTTCCACGATTTTTGCATATTATTATACTAACAATGTATAAATAAATTGGGAAAAATATTTATCCTTTTAAAAAATGGCCTTTTTAGTTAAAAATAGTATTTTTTATTTAAAATTTAAATTAAAAAAATTTCCCACTCTCTCCTCCCATTATTTTTATTATCTATCTTTTTGTCTCACTTAAAATAATATATTTTTATATTCTTTAAAAGAACAAACATTAATCTCAAATAAATTATATACGTGAATAATTTTTTTTATCATTCATCGGTACACAAAATTTTTAATGTAAAAATATCAATATAATTATAAGACAATACAATGGGCTTTATTAATCTTATGTAATAGGAGAGAGCTCTTTCATACTACAGAGACAATCATGTGTGAGACCCACTCACTTATAGAAAAAGATAAAAAGACAAAAAAGTAACACGAAAATCGATGTATGTGTAGGAGATAAAAACACTCTTCTACAACATAAGAATATATTTTCCCTAATACAATATAGTTAAAAACATGACACGTGACATCTGCTTAAAGACAATATCTACTTGGCAGAAGAAAAATAAAGTAAGTTGCTGGGCAGAAACCCTCTTGCATATCTATCTGATACAGAAATCGTTGAGACTAAATAAATCTATTTTTTTTAATCTTTAATGTTTCTACAGTAAATGTAAATATATCATTTTGAATTGAAAAATTAAAAAATTATAATAAAAAAAATTATTATAACCCTAAAATAAATTATAATTACAAATATATTTTGATTTTTGCCTCAAAACAACATCGTTTTGGACTCAATATAGATAAATTATCTATATTGACCGTAGAAAAAGTGAATTTTTTTTTAAGTGGATAAATACATATATTACTAAGGAAATCTTCATTTGTCACGAAACACTTTCTATAAAATTCTCCGTGAATGACCTGCCATGATTTTCGTTAAACAATTTAGTTTCCTTATTTATAAGTTTGCATTTATTGATTGAAAAATGGCATGATTGAAGCCTATGTAGCACCGATACTGACACGGGACACGTGACACGATACGACACGACACTCCGACACGTTAATTCTAAAAAGTGTTAGATTTCGACACGTTAAGACACGTTTTGATATTAAATAATATTTTTAATTTATGTAGTGTATATTATATTTAATATTCAATAATTTAACAAAAAAATGAAACTAAATTTCTAATACTCATCAATTTTGCAAAGAAACATAAGATATTCCAAATATTTATATTAAATTCAATAAAATGGTAATCGTAATCTAACGAATCTAATAGTTAGAACTAAAACTCAACGTAATGCAACCTTTGAACCTTTTTTTGAATTTCTATAACACTTGTTGGAGTGTCGGGGAGTGTCGGAGAGTGTCGGACACGACACGTCAGGATTTTTGAAGTGTCGGTGCTTCATAGATTGAAGCCATGTTGTTTCGTAATAACTTTCGTAAGAGTATTGCTTTTTACATTAACATATAATTTCAACAATTCAGGTTTTAAAGTAACTCTAAAGTAAGTTTAAAATTTTTTTAGTTATCAATATTATTTCCTATCCCAATGTTTTCAGATTCTAACTACTCCTCAAGCAAACTCAATTTTGGAGAGACAAAAAAACCATAAAAAAACCAGATGTCTTTTACTACCTAACCTTGGAAGCATTTAGTGTGGGAGACAAAAATATAGAGTTTGGAAGTTCTTCCTCTGGATCTAGTGAAGAGGGAAATATCATAATTGCTTCAGGTACAACGTTGTGGTAATGAATATCCCTTTTCTTTGCTCATAACATTGATGAGTACTTTTCAATCACTTTATTGCAATGCTTGCTCTGTTGTGTCATAACTTTTTTTCTCTTTGTTGTACTTCTTTTTAACAGGCTGATTTTAGTATCAATTGCATCTTAACAAATTGGTTCAAGCACACATTAGCCTCAGAAACTTAAATAATACTAATATTTACTCATTTGCAGAACACATTAGCCACAGGAAGTAATGAGCATGTGTCTCTCATAGGGATGATTTGTCTCCCATTTTCTCCTCTTTCCATATGTTAATCTTATATTTTCTTCAAAATTATGAATTACTCATTTTATCAGTAAATGTGTTTTCATAGGAAAAATTCCAAAGAATAGAAGATTCTAACATGTCTCATTTATTCTCAAATTGTTCTTATGGGAATTGGGATGGTTGGTTCTTAATTTAATGCATGCTTGGAAATCACTCACTTGGTAGAGTATTATATAATTTTGGTAACAGCCAGAGGTCTTTATGGTACTTAATTAGCATGTACCTAGTCCTTAACCTCTGATCTGAGACTGAGATGAGCTCTGTCATTACTCATGACAAGTTACTTGTGCTTATACGGTGTTAGAGTGACCTGCCGTGTCCACTGGTCTTTCTAGGTTCTTACTAGTGGATTGTTTGTGTACAAATATTCAGGTTCTTAACATAACTTGCAAACAGCCGAATAGCCATCACCACAATGCTCATTCTATATGATTAGTTAGCAAGTATAAAAGAGTACTGTCACAACTCATAACACTTAAATGATAACAAATAGTGTCAACAATCTGCCTTTCTGACTGGTTACATTATTCACCAGGCTGAGTACGTGCATTTCTAATTTTTGGTGTTATGATTTATTTTCTGACATGTTATCAGCAAGGAGTATGGCATCCGAAGGGTTCGTAGCAAAATGGACTGATAAAAACACACATCTTTTTGTTAATTTGCTGGTAGAAGAAGTAAAAAAAGGAAATAGAACAACCTCTACCTTCAGTAAGAAAACATGGAAAAGCATTAAAGATGAATTTACAAAACAAACAGCGCTTGATTACACACTAAATCAACTTAAAAACAAGATGAATAAACTTAGACAAGAATATTCAAGTTTCAAGAAATTACTAAGCATATCTAGTTTTGGTTGGAACACTGTTTTGAAAACTGCTACAACCGAGGATGCATCTTTATGGGATGTCCACATTAAGGTAACTTTTAACATAGTGTTCCCTATGATTTCTTATAAATTTGTTGATTTTTTTAAACATAATTAGGTAAATCTTTTGTACAGGAAAATCCCCAATGGGACAAATTTCGGAAGAATGGCCTTCCTTATTGGGAAGAGTTAGTTGAGATATTTGGGGATGTTTATGCAAGTGGAGATAATGCCATAGGAAATGCTGAGGTACACCAAATTTCAGATGGAGATGGTGATAATATTGACAGTGTTGTTGAGACGCCTAGCCCTGTACTACATAGACAAGAATATAAAGAAGATGAGCATATGCTTAATGAAGATTTATTTGCATCTGATCCTATTGAGACGCCCAGTCCTGCACAACATAGACAAGATAGGGCCCCAAATGCAAAGCGTAAAAGAGGTAGTAAGAATACAGATATTGCAATGACATGTCAAGCCATTCAGGATCTGGTTAAGATTAGACAAAACCAATGCCACCATAATTATGCTAATTCTGCTACTGCAAAAGTGAATGAGGATCCATACTCAGTTGAGGCTACAATGGATGTATTGAATGACATGGTAGGATTGGAGAATGAAGTGTACCGCAAAGCAGTTGATCGAGTGGTTGAAAGCAAAGCATGGAGAGTAGCATTTATAAAGGCTCCACCTGAGAGGAGAGCTTCACTCCTATAAATTTTTAAATGAATGAAATTGTGTTGCAACTTTTTAATTTTGTCTTGTTTAATGGTGTTGAAGACCATATTTTAATTCTTTTTTCATATGACTATGTTGTGGATATTTTTTTTAATTTTAATTTTTTGTATGACTATGATGAGGATAGTTTTTAAATTTTCATTTCTCGTATGACTATGATGTGTGATTTTTTTTTTTTTAATGTGATTTATTTTTTGAAATATGTTAGCATGAAATTAATGATGACAATATCTATTGATGCAGTATTGTCATGGCTGATGCTCCTATTTGTCTGACTTGTGGGCAATATTTTGAACCTCATACTGACGACGAATCAATAGATGAAGATCTTGTTATATCAAACTTGTTGAATATTATTATTAATAATCCAATACATACCAAAGAACCCATTAGAGATAGTAGCCTGATAGGTGCTGAATGGGTTGCGGAACTTAGATCTGGCCACTCAGATAGAATATATGAGGCATTTAGAATGGAAAGATTTGTGTTCAACAAACTTTGTATGTTGATGACACAAAAAGGCTGGTTAGCAGACATTAGATATATTAGGGTTGATGAACAGTTAGGAATTTTTTTGTACTTGATTGGACACGGGAGTTCAAATAGGAATGTTTGTGAGAGATTTCAGCGTTCAGGGCAAACAATTAGCAAGTATTTCAGCAAAGTGTTGAATGTGATGCTTCAATTAGCACGTGAGATAATCAAACCACCTCCTTTTGATATGGTTCCAAAGGAAATTAAGGACAATCCTAAACATTTCACATACTTCAAGGTAAGTTTTTTTTAAGGATTCAAGTATTTTTTTTATTTTCAGAATTTTATTTAATTATTTTCCATTTTAATATTTGATTTTAAATATTAGGATTGTATTGGCACAATTGATGGCACTCACGTAAGTGCTACTTTACCTGGGAATAAGCAAATACCATTTAGAGGCAAGAAACAAATTACAACCCAAAATGTCATGTGTGCATGTTCCTTTGATATGAAGTTCACTTTTGTGTATGCCGGATGGGAAGGATCAGCAAATTATTGTCGTATTTTTAGTACTGCGCCTGAAACTCCTAGGTTGGAATTCCCTCGTCCCCCACTAGGTATGATGAGTTTATACAGCAACGTGAATGACATTTTTCTTTAGTTTCACATTTGATTATCCTTATTATTGCAATTTATATATTGGTAATGACCTTCTACTCTTTGCAGAGGCATCCGTGGACCAGGCGAGAATCATTAAAGGAATTCTTGATTGCTTCTGTAGTTCCTCGGGCCAAAGAGTTAGTAAGGATAAAACTAGACTGTTCTTCTCTAGGAACGTTCATCACTCAAGGACTACAGAAATAGCTCAACTGATGCAATTCTCCATTGCACCAGACTTGGGAAGTTATCTAGGCATTCTGTTGATGCATAGGAGAGTCAAATCCTCTACTTTCAGCTATGTCTTCAAACGGTTGGATCAACAACTTAATAGTTGGAAGAGGAACACCTTATCTCTGGCAGGTAGAGCAACGTTAATCCATTCCGTGATTGCAGCCACGCACTCGTATACGATGCAGTCTTGCTACTTACCAATCAATCTGTGTTTGGATATTGAGAAGCGCTCTAGAGATTTCCTCTGGGGATCAACATTAGAGAAAAAGAGGATTGGAAGGGAATTTTACGGTGAAAACTGCTTACGCTATATATGCTCTTGATGGAAGATAGGACGCGAGGGATGTCGGATACTTTGTTGGCTTGGGATTGGAAGGGGGCCAAACGCAACCTTCCTGTGGATGGCCTCTATATAACGGTTACCTTTTGACCAACATGAAACTGTGAATCACAGGCATCTCGCGGTTAATGGTTTATATATGTCCGAGGTGCAATTCAGCAGACGAGGATCTTGTTCATTTATTCAGGGATTGCAACTGGAGCAAAGAGCTTTGGGAGTGTTTTGGAGCACAAAACCGTTGGCCTGGTTTCTTTCAGGAGAGGTGGGGTACCTGGTTTAAGAGCAATATCGCAAACAACGAACAGGTGAACAACTATATATGCCTGGGGATCCTTATTCGGCACTACTTGCTGGTTCATTTGGAAATCCAGAAACAGCCTTGTCTTTGAGAATAAAGTCTTTTCCCCTCAATCAACTATCAGAAGGGTGAAGGCTTTCGTATCTCAGTACAATATTAATGCAGGCTCAACTGACTCTTGGTCACCATGGGCTGCAACCTCGGCCAAAGGTGGATCACCTTGTTAATTAGTTGGAAGTTTCCGGTCGATGGCTGGTATAAGGTCAACGTGGATGGGTGGGTCGAGCAGGGACGGCGGGCGAGTCTCTAGCTGCGGAGGACTGATCAGAGACGCTTGGATTAGAGGTTTCAGCAGGAACCTTGGCATAGGCTCTTCCACTAGAGCAGAACTATGGGGCTTACTTCATGGTATTGAGTTGGCTTGGACCTTGGGCTTCAGGAAGGTGTGGTTTGAGGGAGACTCCCAAACAGCCATCTCTCTTATCTCCAAAGGTTGTGAGAGGACACACCCACTGGCTTCTGATCTGGTAAACTTAGATTGATAAGTTACCTTTCAAAGTGATTGGAAGGAAAAGGAGAAGAAGCTTTTCCTCTTAGATGACACAAACTAGCTTTTGATAGTTGTAAAAATTGATCGACTTATCTTTGTTGATTGATTTTGTATCTGATACATGAATTGAAATTTGGTAGCATTCCCGTATCCTCCCCAAGACTAAGACTCCCAATTGCAAGATATAGATATCCTTCAATTGCCAGAAAGCCATTACTGGAGGAGAAAGGTTCCCAAAGGATTCCTGTCTGTTTATGTGAGCCCACAGTTTCGAAGGTTTGTGATTCCAATAAGCTTCTTGGCAAAGCCTGACTTCAGGATTTTGATGGAGACTATGGCTGAGGAATCATGGTGCTTTTGTTATCCCTTGTGATGAAGACCATTTTCAGCTCGCAAGGCAACGGATTATATCCTCCAACAAATTAAAATTGCTAATATTTAGTCATTAATTCATCTTTATATATATGTTAGTTATTTGATTATCATATGCCATGCATTACCTTCTCTGTACGAACATGCAATGCAATACGTACTATATTATCATATTGTCATTTTGATTCTGATATATATATTCCTGATTTTTTAGAATTATAATTAAAATCTCAATGGATATGTTATTCACATATAAATAAGGGGTACGTAGGTACGTACATACAAGGCACTCCGATATATTATGTATAGTTTAAGCATAATAGATATCTTAAACCAAGTTGGATTCAAAATAAATTAAATTGTAAAATTGAGTCATGCATCGATCATTAATCACTTGAAGGGCACCGGAAATATCGGATCATGAGTCGCACAACCAGGCTTTGCACACCCTTTTGTTTTGCTTGGGAATCAATCCGAGCATTATCACCGAGTCTATTGCAAACTTGATCCAGGTTCTCATATCAATATTTGAGTATGTGTATTACGTATTGTTGAAAATCGACAATAACACAAAATCGACAAAAAACAGAAAAGAGAAAAGAGATTGACACAATGATTTATCCTGGTTCATCCAATATAGCCTACGTCCAGCTTGTCTGTAATATATTCATCTCACCGCCACTCGTCACTCGGTTTATAAGGAAAATATGAATAGATTAAAAAACCCTAACCACATCTATTCATGGGCTCAAACCCTAACCGCACCTATTTCGCATGCCTACAACAGTACCTAGTTTCTACGGACTTGGGGGCGCTGCCCCCCGGACCCCCGCCCGCTCACCTTGCCTTTCTGCTGACCCCGACAACAAAGGACCTCGTCAGCATGCGAAGTATGAGCCATACCAAAGAGATCTTAATTAATCTATTGTTGTAAGGAAACAAATGCAACTAGGTATATGTTTTACGAAGGGATTGTTGGATATATGCTCTTTTGGTCACTAAAGTCCTATTGGGCTTCAGTGAAACTTGAGCCCGTGAGGCTTAGGGTTGAGTTATGTCTAAGACCTAAGCGTATATATTCATAATTTTCTCCTCTTGTGCCTCCAAGGTGAACAGATCATCAGAAACAAACCCCAAGAGGCAGACGTTCATCATCTGAACGGTTGCCCACATAACCATCTCATCCTCCTCGAGAGATAGTCTGGAAGATCTGCCACAGTCCAGCTTCAAGGAGGTTGTTCGTGCTGCGGCGCTGAGGTGAGCTGTTCGTGAGGAGGAATCCTACAAGGGAAGATTCTACACGAGACCTGCGCACCGAGAGGTAATTATGAAACAAGGATGATTCGGTAAGCATACCAATGTACTAGGTCCTAAACCGCTTCCGCATAAATCTAAGATTTCCTATAATTGGTATCAGAGCCTTGGCTGTACATTGGTATGTGAATCTAGTTTCACTATTCATGTAATTAGTTTTGCTTCTTGAAATGTGGCACCTAGGGTTCTAGGATTATGGTATGAATCTAGCATGTGTATTTTATAATTCATTTTCATAAAAGTTTAAATTTTAATCGGTAAAAATGCTTTAATCCATGGTTAGGGTCTCTCGTGTATTTCTCGATTTGTAACAAGGAGGCTAATCCCATATGATTAGGTTTCCTCCTTGCTGTTTTTTTAATTTTTCGGAATTTTTGTGTATTTTTCAATATTTTGTAAAAATTCAAGATCCAGAAATCGCGAGGAAGATGCGCAGTCAGCACTGTCGGACACTTTTCGAGGACTTACCGATCTCGGAATGGGGCGATCTATATATGGTTGGAAAGAGTACGGAAAGACGAACAAAAAGGTGGGTGGATCGCCGCCATCGGAGACTCCATGCTCCGCCACGCGCCTCCACAAGAGGCTGAGAGTGGTCGCCACTCTCCGACAAAGAATGGGAGAGTGAGGGAGCGTCCGGCAACCTTTTTGGGTGTTTCCGGCGGCGGTGCACTCTTCTCTATGTGGCGGTCCTTCCCCTAGAGTTTCGGCCTGAGTTGAGTTCGGGTGGCGGCGCG